AAGAATATGGATTGGATGGAATAAAACTCTTAGAAAATAGATTTATCAAAAAAGCTCCCTATTATTATTAACTAACATGTGAAATAATAAGAGGTCATTTCACTATACATTGTGAAATAATATTGAAATAGATAATTTTTTTTTGATTGGCTATTGAAATAGATAGTTACTAAAGTGTTTTGGTTTGTTTTGTTTATTTTAATTACGAATAATCCCATATACATGTTGTAAATATTAATAAAATATAAAAAATAATATGTAATTTTTCAAAATATGGAAGGCAGGGCCACTCTGGTCCCTCCATAGTTCCGCCAGCTGTGAGAATTATAAATCAATGCATTAAAAATGACAATATCAATATGGCATCAAAAATTTAGTATTCAAATTTGATTTTTATACATTATTGTTCCAGCAGTGATTTGTTTAACCAAATTCAACCCAAAAATCAATTGATGGATTACCAAGAGTGGACATCAATTAGGTGGCACATATCAGTTTTTATAATAATAAATGAGAAAGTCTATGAACAATGAAAAGAATACAAGAAATGTACTTAAAAATTCAAATGTAGGGTGAATATTTTATTTTGTTGTTATGGGCCAACCTAAATGAATCTTAGCTCTAAATTATAAATTTTAGAAAATTTTCTAATATTATTTTTAAATTTGTAAGATAATAAATATTATAAAGTGCCTAACAGATTACATAAGCCTGACAAACACATGATCAAAATTAATTTATATTATCCATTTGCCTTAGCACAAGATAAACCTTATCTTTTACTATTCTATCCTTTTAGCTACTTTTTATTATTAACACACAAGATAAACCATGCTTTGGTTGAATCAAAATAATGGTCCCACACCCACAGTTTTGACAACAGATACATCTCCCATTTTGATTCCATGATTGCAACATCAGATATTAGTCTTATCAGAAATAATAAGTTATAAAGAAAATATTTTTTAAAAATTCAAAATTATAAGTATTTTTTTTTTCTTTCTGAATTACATAATGTTATTGCCAATGGGCAAAGAAAAAGACTAGAGGCATTTTGGTCAAATTCTATTATTATTTTTTCCATACTCTTTTTCACTTTTTTAAAGTATCTCAAGTTTTCACCTTTTTCAAGTGTCTTATGATCAGAGTGATCACATGAAGGAAAAAAAGAAAATCTCAAAATGATCTAAAAAAATAAAAATAAAAGATATGAGAGTGATCTGAGAGCAGTATGCCTTTTTTGGGTATAGATGTTGTGGATTGATTTCTGTTTTAACAAATTGTAATTTAAGAGAATTTTACTTTTTTGAATAAAATAAATAAAAAAATCTTATAAACTATAACCTAAAATTACAACGAAACGGCATTAGTCAATTTTTTTTTAATGAAATAAACTAAGGGTTCGTTTGGAAAGTTGATTGACTTTTTGACTTTTTGATTATTTTAGTTTAAGGCTAAAGGCCTCGTTTGGGAACTTTTTTTTTTAGTTAAAAAGTCAAAAAATTACTAAATTAGCCAAAAAGCCAACAATCCATACCAAAAAAGTCAAAGATTCTCTTTTCTCTCTACTTGTTGCACATCTTTTCATAAAAAATTAAAAAGTCATCCCAAACATACTAGTTTTTTTTAGTTCATATTTTAACTAAATAGTCAAAAAGTCACTAAATTAGCTTGTTTCCAAACAAGACCTGAGAAGGACTATTGGTTTTTTTGATTTTTTTGTGAGAGAAAGAATGTAATGATTGTGGATTAGATCTAATTAATGTTTTGTCTTATTGGATTAAAAAGTCTATTTTATTTTTTGTGACTAAAATAATAATAAAAAACCTAATTTTTTAGTTTCCCAAATGAAGCCTAAGTAAGTAGACTTATAAGTGTTATCAAAGGAGACCTAATTTAAGCAATTGCCAATAAATTTTTTGGGACAAAATCACCTCATTACGAGTAATTTGCACGTAGACCGCACTATTTTAATAATGAAAAATGCCTCATACACCCACTGGGGGTCGACCCCCAGTGAGGTGGCACTCCATTATTGGCAAAAAAAAAAATTGTTTTTTTTTTTTTTTAAGTTTCAACCAGTGTTTTTTTTTTTTTTTTTTTTTGAGTTTCGGCCAGTGGGGGCGCGACATCTCACTGGGGGTGCGACCCCCACTGGGGGTATGCAGCAGGATTGTTGTACAACCTACCACCCATTAGCTGCTGAGTGGACTAGATATATAAACTGCATTTGGAATCCTCAAAAAAGAAAATGTCACGCTAGTTAACTAACATCAATCCAATATGGCACTCTAGTTTCAAATTCGCTAGAGAATTCAGATGGCATACCATTGCAGTTTAACATGGGGAACTGAAATCAAACGTCCCATTTTAAAGTCTGAAAATTAGGGCGCCATTGAATTGTTTTTTTATTTTATTTTTTGTTTTTACTTAATTTATTCAATATTTTAAACAATATTTTTTAATTTTTAGACATACCTAATATAAATATATCTAAAAAGTAAAAAACTTGTAAAAAAACCTTTTAAAAATTTACTAAATACCAAAAATATATAAAAAATAATACGAGAATTCAATACATTTTTTTTTATATTTTTATGTATTTATTAATTTTTAAAATATTTTTTCACAATTTTTTTAATTTTTAGATATATCTAAGTAAGGTGCATCTAAAAAAATTAAAAAAATATATTTAAAATTTTAAAAATATTCACTAAAAACAAAAAAATACGGAAACAAAAAAAACGTAATTAAAAAAACTCAAACCAAACACATTATAATTTTGGATCAAAATGTAATGTTAATATCATTAATAACAAACATTAAATCATTAAATTGCTTTTCTATTTCTTCATATTCTTATATACTCTCACTCATTTGTATATATTAATTATTAATCAAACTTAAATTTAAGTCAAATACTAAATAAATTTTTTAATAATATGTCTAATTAACTAACATATATGCAAGTTAAGTCAAATACTAAATTAATTTTTTAATAATATGTCTAATTAACTAACATATATGCATTAATATATAATTAACTTAATTTTTAATTATGTATAAAATTATATTTATAATAATCTGTATAGTCAATTTTAGTTAGGACTTTGGATTTAAAAAAAACAAAGAAATGATGATATTTTTATATCATTTTGTTTTTGAAATTTGATTTTTAACTCTGTTAGAGGGAGAGCAACTATTTTTTAGGAGTCTTAATTTTGATAGATTTTTTAACAGAATAATCAAAATTACACAAGAGGCTTTTTGTCTACTATTAAAGTACAGGGTGAAGTGCAAATATCCTAGCAAAAGTGAATTTTGATTTTTTGTTGAGAAATAAAAAAAAAAATCAAATTTTGATCCTCATTGACAAAATAAACTCTAAATTTTTAATTTTATCAATTTAAATTATAATATTTTGATTTATTTTCAATTTAAATAATTAACCAATTTCTATTAAACTCAATGTAAATATACATAGATTTCATTTGAGAAATGAGTTGACTTTTTAATTATTTTAGTTTGTGGTTAAAAAGTCTCTTTTGAGTTAATTTTTTTTGGCTTTTTTAACATTGCAAGAGAAAAATGAAATAATTATGGTTTAAATGTGACATTTTGTCATTGACTTTTTTTTGTCTATTTTATCTTTTTTGACTATTTTAACCTGGAATAATATGTTTGAAATATATATAAGCCAGGTGATGTTGGGCCCATTTTCCCCGATCTACCCACCACCACCCCATCTTTTGGTGTTAACGGGCCACTGGCCCCTTGGCCTCCATAACACCAACAGCAAACAATGGGGGTGTTTGGCAAGTTGGGTCAGATTTTGTTTTAAAATTTACAAAAAAATAAAATATTTTAAAATAATTAATAAGATAAAATATCACATTAAATTTATAATAATTTTATTTTTTTTCCACAAACATCACATCTAACTATAAAAAAATTTTATTTTTTCTCTTATAAATATCACATCCAACTACAAAAAAAATTCAATCATCTTTCCAAACATAAAGGCCTTGTTTGGTTTAACTCTCAAAACACAATTTTTGAAAAAAAATTCCAAAATTTTGGCATGGTTTGGGAAGAGAGTTTGGAGGATTTTTTAGCTAAAATAGTTACAAAAAATAAAATAGACTTTTTAACTTAATAAGACAAAACATCACATCGAACACATAATCATTATATTCTTTCTTTTACAAAAAAGTTAAAAAAATCAAAAATCTTTTTCAAATTAGGCTTTTTAGCCCCAAGCTAAAATAACCAAAAAAAGCTAAAAAGCCAACCCATTTCCCAAACCATGCCTTGTTTGGTTGAAAAACTTTTTCAAAAAAATTCCCAAATCACTTTTTTTCTCTTACACATCAGTCAATCAATTTTTCTCTCTCCTCTCTCATTCTCAATCACTTTTTCTCTCACATACATCTACTTAATTACAACAAAATATCAAATCATCTCAAACTCTCGTACCCTAAAACTATTTCCAAAATATACAACTAAACAATCCAAAAAAATTTCTAAACTCTTTCCTTAAGATTTTTTTTGAAAATTAACCTTCCAAAACCAAACCAAACACACTCAAAAATTATAACCTATTAAAATAATCAAAAACTAAAATAACTTATTAAAATAACAACTTTTCAAACACTCTGAATATATTATCGATTGTCTTGTGATCCACATTGACCATGTTTGGTAGGGCTTATTTTTAGCTTATTTTAGCTTTTAACTTAATTTAAGTTATTTTGATGTGTTTAGTTCAGCTTAACAACACAGCTTATAACTTTTTGTAAGTCAAAAATCAACTTATTTTTTGAATGGGGAGAAGAAGCTTAATTTATAAGTCAAAAATCTGCTTATGTTCACAGTTATAAGTTATAAATTGTTAAAGTATAAAGTATAATCACTTTCTCACAACTCTATCAAACGGGACCAATTGTGGCTTCATTTCATATCATATATATCTCTCTCTGTCTCTCTCTCTATAGCTCGCTTTCTCTCTCTATATTTAGTATCTCACATCTGCGAAACTCAAGACAGATAGTACTATAAAAAACTTCAAATCAAAATCCAGCCAAACACACCTCTCTCGAACTTCACCACCAAGCAATTCAGAAAGCCCTAAACCTATTCTCTCGGATCATGTAACCTCCCTCTCTGTCTCTCTATATTGGATTGTGTTTCTGGGTTGTGTTGGATTCGATTTGGAGACCCAAAAAGCGCGATCATCATGACTCGGCGGTGTTCTCATTGCAGTCACAATGGCCACAACTCTCGGACCTGCCCAAACCGTGGGGTCAAGCTCTTTGGGGTCCGCTTGACCGATGGATCGATCCGGAAGAGTGCCAGTATGGGTAACTTGACCCATTACACCGGATCCAATACCGGTACTCCTCAAAATGGCGTCTCCGGCCACAACGACTCTCCCGGCGGCGACACGCCGGACCACGGTGGCGCCGCCGAAGATGGGTATGGCTCGGAGGACTTTGTTCCCGGATCGTCGTCGAGCCGTGAAAGAAAGAAAGGTTCAACTCTTTCATATGCATATATGAATTTTGTTTGTGTTAATTTATGGGTTCAGTGATGGTATTTTTGAAGGTATAGAGATCTATAAAATTGAATTTTATTTTTGTTGTTATTATTTTGAAGGATCAAATTTGGGATTGAATGAGGCATGATTCTGATATTTTTTTTTTCTTTATTATTTCTTTATGTGGAAAATTTTAAGTTGACCATTGTCTGGCTGCTGATCAATTGGTCAAAATTGAAGGATTTCAAATTTTTTTTGGGGTTATTGATTTGATTGGAGTAGTTTGCATTGAATGAAGAACTTGAGCGTGGAGATGATAAGCTCAAATGGGTGGATGGTTTTGTTTTAAAGTTCGACATAATGATGAATCTAGGATTCGGAACGTCAATCATTTCTAATTGGGTGGATGGTTTTGTTTTACCGTTCGACTAAATGATGAATCTAGGATTCGGAACTTCAATCTTTTTGTCTCCATAATTTCCTAGGAACCAAATGGAGGATTAATTTATCTTTCATCATAACTCGTGATGTATACGGTTTGATCCGCAGCATAGGTTTATTTTTATCTTGGCAAATGAAATTTGAACTCTATTATTTTAATTTCTATGCAGTTCATGTGGATTTTTGTGTTTATCAGCAATGATTGACTAAGTGTATCTCTGTGCCTTTCTCTTGCACAGCTCATCCAGTTTTTGCAGAACAAATACTAATTGTTCCGAAAATGCTTAAGGATTTTTTGTTCTTGTGAAATAATGAGTTATGTTTTCGGTGGGTAATTGGAATAGTGTCTAAGCATTCATGATGGGTGCGTTCTGTTTTTGTTGTTAAATTATATATTGGAAATTTTAGATTTTAAGAATATAACAAGTGTGGTACTTTTTAAGCGTTTCTCACAGCAAATGCAAAATCAGTTTAATGCAAAGGTTTTTCTTGTTTGTTTGTTTGTTTTAGCTTTACTTCTATTTATCAGTATTTATAACATGTATTCCTTTATTGAATGCACATCATTTGTCGTGACTCGTGGCTCATTTATTTGTGATCCATCTGTGGTTTTTCTTGTTCATTTAACTGACCCATCATTTTTCATGACCCATCTGATTAGGTTGTATGTGCTTCCGCATACCCCGTTTGTTTTTGAAACTATGTGTAATTCATTTTGCAGGCATTCCATGGACTGAAGAGGAACATCGGATGTTTCTAATTGGTTTGCAAAAGCTTGGCAAAGGTGATTGGCGTGGAATATCTCGCAATTATGTAATATCAAGAACGCCCACACAGGTGGCCAGCCATGCCCAAAAATATTTCATCAGGCAATGCAATGTGTCTAGGAGAAAAAGACGCTCCAGCCTATTTGATATTGTTGCAGATGAAGTTAGTATCTTTGTTTTTACTTTTTTTTTTCTCTATGTTTTTTTCTTTTGCCTCTGGGAAGCTAAAAATTGATAGATGCATTTAAGTATCCACTAGTGTAACCTGTACTTAATTCTGTAATCTTTACAGAAGGATATTATGCCTATGAATATCATTAGGGGCATGGAAGTGATCATGACATATGATGTAACGTTTTGTTTGGATGGATGGGTTTCAAATCAAGGGATTTGAAATTAAATTTTATAAAAATATTAGAGAATTACTTATTATAGGTGTATAGAAAAACTATAAAAGAAGATAAGTTAGGATAGAAAAGATGTATTTTAGAAGGATCCTTGTAGTTAAAACAAGAATCTATAGCATGATTTCAAATAACTATTTTTACATGGTTATTTCAAATCCATTATGATAAATTTATTTAATGCAATCTTCAAATCTATGCCTAAACTAACAAATCTAATTTAAGCTATTTCTCTTGATTGTTTAATTACCAAATCTATGTATTTCAAATCCATAAATACAAATGGAACCTAAATGCCTGGGAAAATGCCCAGCTCTTTCTGTATTCACCCTGTGGGTGTATACTAAATCCCGTTGCATATTTTGGTTTATATTCATCGACTGTCCTGGATCATTAGTTACACCTTTTTTCTTTGTGTAGTATGCATATTTTTCTTATATGCTTTCTCTAACTTTAATTTGCGTTGTTCTCCTTTTGAAGTCCTTAGACAATTCATAGATGTGTAATTTTATTTTCCAAAAGTTCATGTTCACATTAATATGGTTATGTTTCTGTTTTGAGATCCATTTTTAAACTTATCAACTGCTTGTCTCTTATATTCGTGCCCTATTCTTGCATTTCTGCAGTCAGTCGACACTCTTGTGGCCTCACATGATTTCTTTGCTGTCAACACTCCACAAGCCGAGACACAAACAAATAACCCATTGCCTGCACCTCCTGCTTTGGATGAAGAATGCGAATCAATGGATTCTGCAAACTCTAATGATGTAGAACCTGTACTTCAAAAGCCCGATAGTTCACAGTGCTGTTACCCAGTTCTATTTCCCGCTTATGTCTCCCCTCCGTTCTTACCGTTCTCTGTTCCATTTTGGCCCGGGCACAATATGGAGCCGGCTAAAGCAGAGACACATGAGGTGCTCAAGCCAACAGCGGTGCATTCGAAGAGCCCAATCAATGTTGATGAGCTTGTTGGCATGTCAAAGCTGAGCTTAGGGGAATCACTTGGAAATGCAGGACCGTCTTCTCTCTCGCTCAAACTGCTCGAAGGCTCCACTAGGCAGTCGGCTTTTCATGCTAATCCTGGTTCTGACAGTTCACTTGTCGACTCGAGCATCAATCCAATCCATGCAGTTTAGAAGTTAGATTTCTGGTCTTGAGGTTATTATGGGTATTTCCTGTCTATACAAATACAAGACAATAATGTGCAGACTCTGCAGAGTCTGGTTTGAGTTCAGTTGATAGTTGTGTTTGTTGGATAGCCTTTGGTAAGTTTTATTAGGAGTTAATTTAAAATTCATATCATACTTGGTAGGATGTAGCAACTTCTGTCACAAATTGCTTGAACTTTCAACAAAATTGTGTCAATTTTTATTTTGCCTTTTCCTAAGCTTAGTGTTCTGTGCTGTTATCATTTTATTAATTGATACTTTATGTTTCCTATCAGAAAATCTTGTTATTATTGTGCATAGGTGACTGCATGAGTTTTAACAATTTGGTTTTTGGTTTCTCACTTTGCTTTTCACTTTTCTTTTGCCTATCAAATTTATGATTAAAAAGTATATGAAAACAGTTTATTCATTGCCATGCCAAGCCAGGCCAAGCCATACAATAAGGCCTGTGGTTCAAATAAATGGGGTCATCTGTTTAATGCTTCTGTTTTTAATTTTTCAATAAATTGAATACAAAAACTTATTTATTATATTTTTTTTTGTTTTCATAAAAGTGGAACCGTTTATAAAATTTGGTATATTATTTTTCTTATAACAGAAGTAAAATTAATTATAAAATGAAAAAAATGTATTTTTATTTTTTTATTTAAAAACAAATTTTTTTTCTTTATTATTTTCTTTCTCCCCACCATCTCTGATCATAACTTATCAAATTTGGTATATTATTTTTGTTATCATAGAAGTAAAATAAATTATAAAATTAAAAAAAGAATGCATTATTATTTTCTGTTTAAAAACAAAATTTCATTATTTTCTATCTCCCCATCATCGCTGGTCATCACTTATGACTGATAACTCACAAAATAATTTTTTTTCCCTTCAAAATTTTTGTGTACATCAAATAAGAAATCAAAAACTCATTTCCTAATGAAGATTAAATATTACATGAAGCTGTTTTTCTTACTCATATAGTCCATGTAAATGGATCAAAATTAAGAGGGAGATAGAACAAAAGAGACTGAACAAGCCATATCTGAATCTCAAACGCTGATACATATATCTTAACAAACAAAACAAACGCTCTACCAAGCTGCCACACATCCCTTTAACCGGTCTATAGTGTCCTTGTAGAGAATTTCACTTACCAACACAGAAATCAGTTACAAAATTGGATACGGAGTGTTCCGTGTATGATATTATTGTAACCGATTTGGTTAAACTGGAAGTGAACCTTCCCTGACCATAAAGGCATGAGCTATGAACACCCGTGATCACGGCTAATTTCATGTGCCTTTCCGGCATCTCTGGCTCACTGTCAAGACCGCTCATCACTCGCTGCCAGAGCCATTTCCAGTACATTTTAATTCTGCAATTAAGCAAAACATTTACTGAAAACAGGACAAACAGCAAAAACAGAACCAGTCCAGCTGAGTTGTCCTGCAAAAGAACATAGGCTAAAGACAAAGCAAAAATCGAACCAAACAACACCATTCCACCGCCAACCACCCGGGATTGACTCGGTGAGTGAGGAGTCGAAGAAAATCGCAGTTCAGCATCGTATGCCAAGCAATACAGGAGCAAACTCACAATGGCGACCGACATGGTTTTGGGGTGTGTTTCGAATGGAGAACAAACCTTTCCCTGATACTGAAATTCAAGGAATTCGAGCAGTGTGGGTGCCAGAAACGCAAGAACGGCGTGCCGGGAAGTTGACTTGGGCTGTTTGATGGTGCATTTTATGCTGAGAAATGTACTAATGTTGATGACTCCATAGAAGCTTCTTGGTGTTGTACCAGAGGCCATTGGATTAAACATTTGAGTTATAATTAGAATGAGATTTCAATCATGAAATTGGATACATACGAGAGAGAGAGAGAGAGAGAGACAGAACTGGTGTTGTTGAAATGTGTATGTGTGGAACATTTTTTTTTATAGTCGTTGATTGTGTGAAGAGCTGGTAATTACTTGGTACATTCCGCTGACATCTTGCAAGTGTGATGAAGGGTGTAAGGGGTGTTTAGCTAGGAGGGGTTTTGGCTGGTTACACATCTTGAGTGTGATGTAGGGTTTATTGGTGCACATAAAGGCAATCTGGAATAGATTGTGATCTTTTTCATTAGTATATATTTATAATAAAAAAAAATTCATTACATCATTTAATAATAAATGTGACGATATTTTTTTAATTTAAATTAATTATAAAAGAAATAGGGATGTAACAGAGAAAAGATGGGAATTTGTGGGGGATCCATTAAAATTGGGGGAAGCCTGGTGTCACTTGGTTTTTTTTTTTTTGTTGAACGGAAGTGTCACTTGGTTGCAACTCATAAAGTTCTAAAAAGTAGAATGTGTCATAAAATGTGTCATCTCACATGTACAGGATCACACAAAAACTGTTTTTTTATTTAAAAAAAAAACATCACACAAAAATACATGAAACTGTGTGCTATTATCACACAATTCCAAACACATAAATGTGAAAGGAATATTATTTTAATTCACCACCACCTGGCTTTAGACATGACACGGCGGTTAATTTTTTTTAGAAAGGACACTATGGTTAATTTTGATATTAAAATGATACAAATTCTCTTAAGTAAAACTCACTTTTATAGTTTAGGGGAAGGGGGATTTGGTGATAGTCCGTTCACTATTTAATTTATTTTTTAAAATGATAAAAATTATATAAGTACTTTTAAAATCTCATAATATTTTAAAACTTGTTTATTTTACTATATTATCCTCATATTTATCAGCTCTCCTATTAAGCTATTTTCACTGTGTATTTCAGAGTAAAATTTTACTCTGAATAAGAGTAAAATGTTACATTTTGAAACTAAAAGTAAAATTTTACTCTGTATAAAAGTAAAATTTTACTCTGAAAAATTAGTAAAATGTTAGATTCTACACAAAAGTAAAATTTTACTCTGTATAAAAGTAAAATTTTACTTTGAAAAACGAGCAAACTGTGAGACTCTGAAGCTAAAAAAAGTAAAATTTTACTTTAAAAAACTAGTAAAATGTTAGACTCTACACAAAAGTAAAATTTTACTCTGTATAAAAGTAAAATTTTACTCTGAAAAATGAGTAAACTGTGAGACTCTGAAACTAAAAGTAAAATGTTACTCTACACAAAAGTAAAAAAGCAAAGGTAGTATTCGTGGCGGCTGAAGTGTTTGGCAATGACCACCTCTTGACAGTAAAATTTTACTGTTATTCTAACACCAGAGTAAAATTTTACTCTAATTCTCTCAAACAAAAAACAGAGCAATAGAACAAGAGTAAAATTTTACTCTCATTATCTGAAACAAAAAACAGAGCAATAGAACCAGAGTAAAATTTTACTCTGGTTCTATTGCTCTGTTTTTTGTTTCAGATAATAAAAAAAAAAAAAAAAAAAAAAAAAAAAAAAAACAAACAAACAAACAAAAACAAAACAAAACAAATTAATCAACAAATCAACATATCTAATTAAGAAAAAAAACTTCTAAAACTCGATCAACAATCACAAATCTCAATGAAAAGAATACATGTGTTCAACAACACTCATACACACAAAAAATATATATATATATATATATATACACATATATTCAAAACTCAAATTTGTGTTTTAAAAAATATGTATAACCAAACAACTCCACAAAACATGCCTCAATTTAGAGACGATTTGTTTCTCCTCGTAGACGATCTCCTTCGATTCCGGCACCGGAGGATAATTTTTCGGCCCGTAGTTGATTTCGTTCCCGATGTTCTTGATGAGTTCATCGTAGAGATCGGTTTCGGCATTGTTGATCACCAGAGTTTCGCCTGATAACTGACCGGACTTGGCTAGGAGAGTGATGACGATGGCGTTGCTATCATCGCCGGAGAAGAAGAAGTTACCAAAATTGTCAAGAAACAGAGCTTCAGATCTGGAAGGGAATCATCATAGACCGGACTTGGCTTGGAGAGTGATGACGATGACGTTGCTATCATCGCCGGAGAAGAAGTTACCAAAATTGTCAAGAAACAGAGCTTCAGATCTGGAAGGAGGAGCACGCCAGCGGAGAACAAAGTCAGAAGGGAAAGATGGAGGAGAGAGACAGAGAAGGTCGGGAGAGAGTGGGTGGAAAAGGTGGAAAAATTTAGTTGAAGGTATAATAGTCTAATAAAATATTTAAATAATAAATTTTGCCCTTTATGCAAGACTTTATAATTATGAGGGGATTTAGAAAGTATAATTTTTTTTTAATCCTTTTAACAATGAAAGAAAGGTAAAGGAGATTTATAGCCAAATTTCCCGAAAGTTCTATGCCCATTTGAGTTCATTTTTTTTTTTTAGGAATAAGACAGCATATATATAAAAATAGATTTTTTTCCCAAACGAAAATGCTATATTTATTTTCTTTTCTCCCTGCATTATTTTTTTTCCTAGACATAAGTGGAATTTAGTAATTACTTTTTTCGTCTTTTTTCTATTTTAAATTTGTTTTCGTCTCTAGTGAAAATTCTAAAAAAAAATTCAATTTTCTAAAAAGTTCATTAAGACCCCCCTAAAAAAAGGCAAAAAAAAAAAAAAATTGATTTCTTCATGAACTTTTCTTTTTTATTTTTTTTAATTTTTTTTAGATCTTTCTAAAGACCTAAACTATTTGTTTTCAGAGATAGAATGGATGGGATTCATAGTGAGGGGATTGTTAGTGATGGGATTGATAGTGAGGAATTGTTAAATTATTTTATATAAAAATAATAAACAAATAAAAAATATAAAAAAATTAAACATTAATATTTAAAAAAAATCCCAATATATAAAAAATAAAAAAAATTCTAATCCCCTCACTATTTTTCTAATATCATCTCTACCTCCTCCTTACCAATCTCTCTTCCAAGGGGACTACTAATACTAAGGGAATAATAGTCCCCTCCCCATCTCTCAAAACAAACACCCCATTAGTAATACCAAGGGATTAGTAATCACAATGCCCTCCCTATAACTCCAAACAAACGAGAATGTACAAAATTTTGATTCAAATTAAAAACAAATACTAAGATTAGAAAAAAATAAAAAAAAAATATGAGTATTTTATAGTTGGGTAATGTTACAATATACTCCCTTCGAAAAGAGGTGTATTATATGCATATTATGACATTTTTGCCCAAAGTGTCATAATCAAATCATTTTTTGTCATAATTTAATGGATTATAACTAAACACTTTTGATATATAATTAAAGATCTTTTCAGTTACAATTTAAATTATAACTACAATAGATCATAACTGAATCATAATTAACAGTA